AATGATAACTTCTGCTTCGATTGGTCTATAATTGCGACCTTTAGATCAACTGCAAAATCATGAAATTTTTCAGTTTTTGGTCCATTTAAAATATCATGCAATTATCTCCAAAAGCAATGGCTTCTATTCTGGCCCCAACACATAGTGTTGTAGGGTATAAATAGTTTGTCATAACAAATTGTTAACAATGCTTGACGATTAGTCACGATCAGACCAAACCGGATACTTCTTTCGAATGTTATGGTGAGCACCAGCCGACCAGACATATGGACGGACGTTGCAAGATTGATTCTCATTATTTCGATACGGATTTCATTTAAAGATACAAAGCAGTAAATCCATTTTTTTTTGTTGATTAAGCAGTTTTCACCTACCCTCGAAAGCCATAAAGCCATTATTAAATGAATATTTCAAAAACATCAATGAATCAAAAAAATTTAATTATTAATATGAAATTATTTTTAGATTTTCTATCTTTTGCAGGTAGTATTCGACAAACGCCGGGCAATAATATTTATTTATGTTTAGCCCGGGGTTAACCTACAACTGATATCGCCTATAAAAAAAACATATTTGGTTTACTAATTAGAAACACACGAACACGAAAAATCAAAGTTCCGACAAAGAATAGAATGATTAGGATTTAATAAGTTCAAGTGGACTGAAATACGGATAGTACGTTTACAGTTTATAGGATTTTTTTAACCCAGTCAATTTCCGTGCATATACCTCAAATAAATCCGTATAGGAGGTTAACCCGGCCAAGGCTCTAATCCAAATAAACTTTTTTTGCTTGCATGAAAAAGGTTTACCTTGACGGAAATATTGAAAAATTGTTCACACACATATACGTTTCTTTAGAATTATTGATAAATACAACTAATTATATAAAAATAAATAATTTGGGGTTTTATGCTACAGGGACTAGAAACATACAAATTACGTTTTATAGATACACCTTTTTTATTTATTATCATTATTTGTTTTTCTAAAAAAAATCAAAAATTCAAAATGCTTAGGCACTGTGGTGCTTCGTCAATGTTGGTTTACCTTCACATTCAAAGGTAACTTCAATGCCATTATCCAACCATGGACGCGACCAAATAGTAATATTACATTTTTGAGTTTTTTCTTCTTCGTCAATGATGTCAGCTTCAATTTTAGTCAAAACGCCTTCAACAACTTGTCTCGATGCTTTGTAGACCTTGCTCAATCTAAAAGAACAACAAATGACTTGTCACGAGAGACGCATTAGATAAAACGTTTAAAACATTAACACTCACTTGTAATGAGGTCCATCGCCGGCATCCAATTTCGACAACGAGTTTTTCACTTCTTGTTCAACCTCAGTTAGATCCTCTACAGGTGAAACGCCACCAGTCTGAAAAATAATGATTAAATAAAAATTAATTAAAAATAAATGAATGAATCAGTAATTTCGACCGGACCGAACTTCGAATACCCTCCACCATTTGAAAGGAATTTGCAAATTTTCAATTGAAAAGGTCCGTTGAAAAATTCTGTTAAAGTTACACCATTGGGGCCTATATGTAAATATGGACCTGTATATGCAATTTTCCATCACAGACTATAGTCCCATTTCAAACTTAAAATACAAAATTTGAAACAATTCCGAATGGATAATGCCGCTAAGATCATCAAAATACCGAATATACCGCTATCTGGCGGCTACACGAAGACCTGGACCCGCATATCTGTCATAGGATGTATTACCCATTAGGAACTTCAAATATGACATTTGAAACAATTCCAGTGGATAATATCGCTTTATACCGATTATATGGAGGTAACGTTAATAAGGGGCTATACGAAGAGGTGGACCTGAATGGGAAATTTTCAGTCATAGGCTGTAGTACCAATTAGGAACCTCAAATTCCAAAGTTAAAACATTTCCGGTGAAAAGTGTGACACTAAACATCCCAAATACCGAATATCAGGAGGTACAGAGATTTGGAGACTATACCAAAATTAAGACCTATATTGACAGTTCTATGCAAGGATGTTCATTACATAATGCAAACACCAATTTGTTACTAAAACACCCAAAAATCTTAAATCTGTCGGTACAGTTATATGGTGGTTATACCAAACGTGGACATATATATCCCATTCTCAAAACCAAAGGTTTTGTAGACCCAACACAACACATCCGACTAACATTTTAATAACCACCTTCATTTCGTTCGGAAGCTAGAGTGATTTCCACCGGCGGACAGTCAGATAAACGGACGGACATTGCTAGACCGACATCGAATTTTATGCCGATCAACAAGAGTATATATTTCGAGGTGTTGCAAACGGAATGACAAATTTAATATACCCTCCATACTATGGTGGAGGGCATAGTAAGTAATAAACTGGATCAATTTCGACTGATCGAACGATGTTGTACTCTGCACTATGTAAAAGTTTAAATTATTGTGAAGTCAGTTCAAACTTTTGAAAATACTGATTTGTGGTCCATTCAGTTTAAAATTAGCATCTGATGAGAAATGAGGTAAAAGCCATAGACACTATCCTGAGGGCCAGTTTCTATCCCCCAAATAGGTTGACAATGGCATTTACTTCTTTAGACGAAAATGTGGATCATACAAGGCACACAGTGTATTTGACTTTGCCGGAAGATCATCCCTGCGGACATCCCGAATCTTTTCCTGACGGATAGAACCCATGGACATGATCGAAGTCTGGACCGATCTTCAGGGCTAATTTCTTCCAAATTTCCAAATAGGATGGCAGTGGCATTAAAATCTATCACTGCGTTTTAACTTACCATTTGTGGAACTGCGAAAGTAACAGCCACAGCAACACTCAGTAAAATGAATAATTTGGTAGTAAACATGTTAGTTTTATAATTTAAACTAATAAACACTTGGTATTGTCGTCTTGACAATGGAAACTTCGAAACTAATAGACGTTGTCATGCAAACGAATAAATTTATAGAATTTCGAGTTACAATCAAGATTTTTGTGTCTATAACACACAACAATTGGTTAACATCCATTCGTACATATTTACATATGTAACGATTTTTTGTATGTGTAAGTGTATCTATCTGTTTGTATTTTTATCAATTTCTTTGCTCTTCAAATTGATGATGATTGAAAAACAAACGAAAAAACAACATTTAATTGGGTGTTTACCCGTAAGGGTTCATCAATAACAGATAATGATTTCATTTTCTGATTTTTAACAAAATTCAGGGCTTTCTTGTCTTCAGTCAAAGGTAATAAAAATTGAATCTGTGATCTGTTATAATTATACACAGTATAAAAGTCAATTTTTTGTGAGGTTTAGGGTTTTCTGGTCCAACTATTTTTTAACGAAACCGAAGGATTTTCCAATATTTTGCAATGAGCTTTACAATATTTAATATAGAGTATAATTACAAGGAGTAGTTATATTTACAATTTGATCGTTATCGGCCATACGGCTTAAACTTGCATATTTGGGGATAAAATTTGAATTAAAAACAAGTAAAAAAGCTGTAAGTTCGACCGGGCCGATCTTTGAATACCCACCACCATTTGGAACGATTTTGGCAATTTTCAAAAAAAAAATAAAATCAGTTAAAAATTCTGTTAAAATCTTAAAAATACCGAATGTAGCCATATATTAGGGTCTATACGACGACATGGACCTGCATAGGCAACTTTTGTCATAAGCTATTACAATATTCAAATGAGAAGCGTGAAAAAAGATATGTTTATAAAGTAGCAAAAATCATCAAAATACCGAATATAGGGAGGTACAATTTGGGTTATAAAACGTGGGCCTGCACAGACAATTTCTGTCATAGGCTATAGTATCCATTACAAACTTGAAATACTGAATTTGAAACAATTCGGATGAATAATGTCGCTAAAATCGTCGAATATAGCTAGGTGCCGTTATATGAGGGCTATACGAAGACGTGGACCTGCACAGAAAATTTTCTGTCATAGGCTGTAGTACGAACTTCTAATACAAAATTTGAAACATTTCCGGTGAATAATGTCGCTTAAATCACCAAAATACCGAAAAAAGGAGAGGTACCATTATAAGGGGGCTATACCTCCCATTTTCAATACCAAAAATCCTGCAGACATAATAAACATTTGAATAAAATTTTATCAACCTACTTCATTTCGTTCGGGAGCCAGAGTGATTTCCACAGACGAACAGACGGAAGTTCGTAATGGATACTACAACCTAAGACGAAAAACTGTCTGTGCAGGTCCACGTCTTCGTATGGCCCCCATATAGCGGTACCTTCCGATATTCGGTATTTTGATTTTATCGACATTATAACCGATATTTTTTAAGTTTCGCATTTGAATATTGTAATGGCTTATGACAAATGTTACCTACGCAGGTTCATGTCGTCGTATAGACCCTAATATAACAGTTACATTCGGCATTTTTAAGATTTTAACAGGATTTTTAATGGATTTTATTGTTTTTGAGAATTGCCAAATTCGTTCCAAATGTTGTTACTGCTTTTTAACTTGTTTTTTTTTACAGTTATGAAAATAACAACAATCATTCCCAAAAAACACCTACGTTTAAGAACAACACATTCTATCTACCCCACCTTGATCATGTGTGTGTTTTTTTTAAGTTTGATATAGCTACTTACACGTAGATTTAGCGCAATTGTTTTCCGTAAAAAAGTAAACAGTTTCAAAAAAAGTTTATATTATTTCCAATATGTATTAGGCTATATATTTAAAAAGAAGATTAAAAAGCAAACAAGCTAACAGAACTGTTGAACAGATTTGTTCTTTTTTTTTTTTTGTTTTTGCAAGTAACAAAACTCTAATTTTACTCATTAATTCTAATTAATTAAATTAGTATTTTGTACAGAAACAAACATATTATTTCTCTTTATTTTTCAGTTCCACTTTTTCGTCTTTGGTTCGGCATGTACCAACCACAAAACAAACAAAGCTACCCTTGGACAAAGGTACCAAAAAGGAAAAAAAAAAACAAAACGGGGTGAGCAAAATAAAGAAATAACGTATTTTACTAAGATTAATTTTAAATACCTAAATAAAATTCTACAAAAGAAACAAACTTTTTCACGCAATTGGTGTGGCTGTAACGATCCAAAGAAACCATAAATTTCATAAAATTGTTTCTAATTCGTAGAAAAAAACCTAACCATATAAACAACTATTGGCACTGTGGTATTCTTTCATAAGTAGTAGGCGGCAGCAGCATACATAGATTGTTTTTAAATGTGTATGGGTACATGATCCAGCAGTTGGGCACGATCAGAGAATACAGCTGAACACATTTCACACTCAAAATATCGTTGGGGTTTACGGGCAGGTGAAGGATTTGCCTGGGCGGCTGCTGCATTATTGGCATCAGCAGCCGATACCACTGACGAAATGGAAGAAAACGAATTCACATGGTGATGATGGTGACTATGCGGTGATGAACTTGAGACCGTGCTGAAACTATCCACCATGCTGTAGTCTAGAAATGATGTTGAATTTGTTAAAGATTTTGTAGGCTTTGCAGGTTCTGTGCGGGCAGATTTCGAAGATTTGATCTGTGTAACTCCACTCAAATGACTGTTAGATGATCGTTTGTGAGAATTGCTGTTGATGGCAGTCTTCATGTTACTTAGTTGGTCATTGGCAAATTCAAAATATTTTCTATTTGAATTTACATTCCGTTGAGATCTGGACGATTTAGAAATTCTACGCGAGCTGTGTGAAGTATCAACCACATTCAGTTCCATGCCAGCTGAACTCACGGCTTCAGAGGTGTTAACCGAACTAACACCGTTGACAATTTCCCTCAAATCCGGTGAGGTAGGTTCAATTTTGATCAAGTGTTGTTCTTCCTCTGATTGTTCAGTCAAGAACTGTGTCGATGACTCACTTGTAAAGCGTTGACGGGATCCACCCAGTTTATCTGATTTCAGCGGTGATCTCAAGATCTCATCAAGATCATTGCGTAATCCCGAGGCTTCTAGTAACAGATGTGCATCGTACAGATCATTATTATGGCGGGTATTTGATTGAGTTCTATGATGAACATTTGAGGATGATGAAGTGGATGACATTACATGTTGGATTCGCATTAGGGGTGGATTGTCATTCTCCTGTTTTATGTGCAAAGGACTACAACTGATTTGTTTAGGTGGATGTAAGGCTGGTGAAATAATGTCATAATCATCGACTATGCCAACGGATTTGGGAAGAATATCTACACTGGTGGTTTGGGTGCGAGTGACCACTGATTTTGATTTCTTTTTGCCACCCTCAACAGACGATACAGTACATTTTTCGGTGCGTATCATTTGGGGTCCTTTACTATGTTTGCTGGCGCTGGATTTTTCTGTCTTGCTTTTACGACCTTTACTCGTCGTGCTGGTGGAGTTTTGGTTGCTGTTGTTACTTCCCGTCGTGGAGTTGGCAATCTTATCATTCCTGGTTATTTGCACTTGTTGTGTTCTCTGTGCAGTTGATTCACTTTGTTTGGATTTTCGTTTGGCAGGTTGTGTTGCTGTAGTTATGCCTATGTCAACGGCATTGTTTGTCGAGGGTCCGACCACTAAACTATCAATACTTTGTAAAGTGGTTTCCAAATTGGAAAGCAGTGACTTATATGTCTCGTCATTTGATGTTTTTGTTGACCAAATTTTGTCGCTGCTGGTTGAATTGAATCTGGGCTTTTTATTACCTTCACTGCCATCGACCATTGCAACATCTAAATCAAAATGATCTGGGTCGAGTTCAATGTGAGATTTTTTCTTTGACGCAGAGGTTTTGGATGCCAAATGCCGACTATTGTTAGTTTCCAGCATATGGGTGGATGTGTTGTTCTTTTGTCGTTTGGATTTTGTGGTTGTGGGAAGTTCATGATTACTGGTTGTATTTTCTGTGGATGTATTGGTCTCTGTCATTGCCAGCAAATCGTCAACATTGTCCATATCGAAATCAGATAGATCCAGGTCACTACAATTATCGCCATTTTGTTTGGATTCTCGTTTCAGACGGGCAATTTCATGGGGTTTCAACTTGCGCCGTCGTTTGTATTTTCGAGGACCAGTCTAAAAGATGAAAAGGGGAAAAATTACAACCAACATTGTTTTGTAAAATTATAATACTTACCACAGGCTGTCTTTGCATTGCGGTATTCATGTCACTATGCTGTATAAGATGTTGAATCAAATCTCCCGATGAAGACAGGTCTGCTCCACAAACTGTACAATAATAAGTTCCACGTTTTGTGTCCAAGCCCGAATGGTGCGATCGAATGTGTTCCCTTAAAACAACACGTTGATTAAAGGCCCTTGGACATACTGAGCAGGCGTAAGGTTTTTCACCAGTATGTATTCGCTCGTGTTTCCTTAAAGTGCCACCATCAGCAAAGGCTTTCCAACAAAATCGACAACCGTATGGTCTCTCCCCGGTGTGTATACGTACATGAATTTGCTGAGAACTTCGCGAACCAAATGTTTTACCGCATTCATGACAGGGGAACAATTTGCCTGCTGAAGTTGTACTATGCGAGTGACGATGATTCGACAGCGTGCGGCCGTCGGGAAATTCTTCATGGCAAACATCACATTGCACCGATTTGTCACGATGTGATGCCATGTGACGCTTAAGACGGGCTTTATTATGGAAATTTTTACCACACTTCGAACATGAATGACATTTTTCACGTGAATGATCCCAGGCATGTTTGATTAAGGCTTTGCGATCTCGACATTCTTTGCCACACAAAATACACGAGTTTTCCGTCATTTCATTGGCGTGTTGAGATTGTAAGTGTTTCTTAATAGTGGGTTCTTCGAAAAACGATTCACCACATAAAACGCATCTGGAATGAAAAATTAAAAGCAAATTAAGTTGACATATAGAATTGTCGGAATTTCAAACTTACTTAAAAGGCGGGTAACGAGCATGAATTTCAGCATGTGCCAACAAATCTAGGGCTTCAGCAAATGTCTCACCACATGTATTGCAACAGTGCTGGTCTTTACTGCCATCACCAACTCCGCTGCTTCTACCACCACCACCAATATCAGCACCATTTTCGTTTGATTGATTGTTGTTCTTTGCATGACTTTTGGCATGTCTCCTGAGCAAATCCTGTCGATGAAAAGACATTCCACATTCACTGCAGTAAAATTCTCCATATAATTGCTGTTCGGACTCGGATTCACTTTGGGTTTCATCTTCTCCTTCATTTGGATCATATTCAGAATTACTTTCCTCAAATTGATGAGTCTTCTGATGATCCGATAGGCTAGCTTGGTCCCAAAATAGCTCATTGCACTGGGGGCATTCGAATGGAGAATCATTGCGGTGACTCTACAATTGAAAAAAGAACAAAATTTAAATAAAGAAAAAACAATTAAAAAATCAAGACCTTAACACAATTTCACTATTTAATTTTGGATCAGATTAGTTTCAAGAATGTGTTATAGTCGTAACATTTTCGTGTTGAGTACACATTCATCTAGTATTGGACACTAGATTCAACTCAATCATCATATCCAAAATGATGAATAGTATAATTGTAGTTCCATTTTATTCACCTACCTTGGTATGAGCCAACATGGCTTTTTCTCTGGAAAAAGCTAAACCACACTGTTGGCAAACAAATGGTTTATTATCATCGATAACAGGAAAATGTAAGATGGGTTTCTGATCCGACTGTTCCTTTTGTACATTTTGCAAGGCGGGTGCTGGTGTGTCCTGAGTAAATTCTATTGCTGTACTACTAGAATTTGGTAACTCATCACATTGAACAATGCTATAGGTTGTGGCTAAATTAATTGAGCTACTAGTATGCGGTACATCGACAACATATGTGTCTTCCTTTGGCTTGAGACGACTTATACGTCCCCTAGGTGGTGCTGTTGTCGATGTTGTTGTTACCGTTGTAATGATTGTAGGCGATGTTAATGAATTGCTATTATCCATTAGTGGATGTGAATTCATTTGATCGGAGGTAGTTTGTTGTTGCTGTGGATTCTGTTGTTGGTATTGTTTACGACTAGATTTTATTGGTATTGTAACGGAATCTTCAGGCACACTCCAATCCTGCTCATAATAATGATCATTGGAGGTGCGCTGTGACGATGAGGTGGTATCGGTAACGAAATTTATAACTGAAGTTTAAAGAAAAAAAGGATAATTTTGTTTATGTATTTAAAAGATAAACATAATGCATTTTTACTTACAATCACTATCATCCATTTGTGGTTCTGGTATAGCTTCTTCAGCATGCGCTTTTAAATGATTTATTAAATCCTGCCTTCGCAAAAATCTGGAACCACACAGTTTACACAAATGTGGTCGATCATTTTGATGTGCCACCATGTGATTCATAAGACTGGCTTTCTTGCGAAACCGTCGACTGCAAAAATCACAAGGATATGGTCTCTGAGCAGAGTATTCATCTTGTACTGTGGGCAGGGGAACTTCAATATCCATTAATACTTGGGAATTAGAAATAATCTGTTCGGCCGATATTTCAACCCTGAAAGAAATATGAAAAGTGTTGGTGTTAGTTCGCTTCGTTTCTTTTTCTTAAGGATGATATTGAGGTTTGAATATGTCAATGGAATCAGATGAATTTCAAGACCATGTAACTTGTCGTAACATTATGTGGTTGAGTACATGGTCATCAAGCATAAAATGCTAGACTCAACTCAATCATCATTTTCCGGTTGTGAAACTTTTTTGTGAAATTCATTTCATGATATATTTTATAGAGAAAACATTAAGGCCGATAACATCTATAGCATTATAAAGAAAAGTAGATAACTACAAATTGTTCGTCTTATATGTATAACACGGGTGTATTTTTATACTCTACACCACACAGTGGCATTTGTTTGTAACATGGAGAAGGAAGCGAGATAGACCCATAGTTACTTTTGAGGATCTCCATAGAATCACTTTCTGAGTTGATTTGTGCATGCCAGTCCTTCTGTCCGCCCGTCCGTCTGTCTGTCCATGTATTCTTGTGAACAAAATGCAGGTCGCGTTTATTATCCGATTAAGATGAAATTTTGCACAAATCATTGGTTTGGTCCAAGGACGAACCCTAAATGGAATTTGAGATAATCGGTAAAAATTTAGATATAGCTCCCGTATATATCTTCGTCCGATTTGCCTTTTATTGTGCACCAAACGTGTAATATCAGCCCGAATAATATGGAATTTTGCACATACAACCAAATTAAACCTGAAAATAAGTATACCAAATTTGCACCAAACGTCTTATATTCGTCCAAATGGGATGGCATTTGGCACATACGACCGAAATGAGTCTAGAAGATAGTATGCCAAATTTGGTGAAGATCGGTTCAGATATAGCTATAGCTCCCATATATCTATTGTTCATCAGATTTGTTGTATTTGTTACCCACAGCCATAATATGCACTCCGCAACAACAATATTCAGGGAAATATATCAAATACAAATTGATTTCAAATTAATTTTGCACCAAATGGGCAATACAAGTCGGAATTTAAAAGAAACAAATGCTCCGTCATATTTAGTCCTTTAAACTTTTGAACTTTAAATTATAAACGAAATTACAGATTTAGTGAAGCAAATCCCGACATAACGCATCCAAAGTAAGTATCTTTGCATTCGTGTCATTATCTTCGATTAATGCAATGTGGAAATTGTGAAGCCATCGAGGCTCTGATTCCATAATGTTTGACATTTTTTGAACAAGAATCCTTTTTAAATTTAAGGAAACAAGTTTATTTGAAGGCAACCTCGCCGATCATTTTGAAAATTTTTTACTGGTACTTATCGGGATCTAGAGTACGGCGAAATGTTTTTGTCTTAAGGATAGATCATGAAAAATACAAAGTTTGCCTAAATTTTGTACTTTATTTAAGTAGGCGGGTTTCGACAGGGGCAACCAACAGCTATTGTTTTTCTAAAACTAGTAAAATTTTATATAGATCCTCGAGAGGGTCCCAACCCCTACTTAAACCAATGTGATTTGTTATTGCTCAATGTAAATTTTGTGGAAATGCTATGATTTATATATTTAATATCTTGGAATAGGTAGGTATTATTTTTTTAACGTGAAATGAGTGAATATTTATACAGTCTCCATTTATCAAAATCTTCAGGCTCGAACTTAAAACCAAAAATATGGCAAGAGTAATTTAACCGAATTTATCTTCGAAGAGAAAATCATCGAAAAGTCGGCCAATATTATGGAACTTTAAACATAATACTGCAACATACACGGAAGTTTTGTTTAAACATTACAACTTTTAAGACTAACGAATTTTTTTAACACTGGTGATCCAATTTCAAATTTCTAAAGGATTTTCACCTTTGCCCATTCCGTTGGAACATAGTAATTCTACAATTACAATTTATTCTTCAATTTATTTCTTTTTTTAATAATTAACATGTTTATGGTTTCCTTACCTTTCTTCACCTTGATGCTGCACCCAATCATCGGTTATGACTTCTTCGGTTACCATTTGGGGTGATCTATCGGTATAGTAAATATCCCCACCTCCTCCTCCACCTGTACCACCGCCGCCGCCACCTCCTGTATCTTCATGTTGTTGTATCAACGCTGCCTGCTGCATAATGGCATCACAATCGATTTGTTCACCATCACTGGCCGACACGACTACAGCACCATTCTTGTCCGTTCCATTGGTGGAGATTATTTCGGCAACCATTTGTCCGTCTCGTGCCATAAATATGAGATTTTCGGCAGCAATTTGGTCAATGTTATCTGTTGCATCATCATCTTCAGTGGCTATGTAGTCGGACGATGTATTGCCACCAGCCATTAGTTCTTCGTCACAAGGTGGCTGTGGATCAATAATCAACTGGCCGGCAGTTTTCATATCGCCTGCAACACCGCGGACTCCACCAACATGGCCAGTGGAGTGTTTCTGATGCACGGAACTATGTTGTATCCATTGTATGCCACCATATTGACCGTCCATAGTTTATCTTTAACACTTTTCGTCCAGGCAAAAACTAAAAATTGCGGTAGAAAATCGGTATTTAATAGCAAAAACAATAACAACACACGAATAGCGAAGAAAGACCTCCTGCAAATAAACCTCTGTCGAAAAACACGTTGTTGCAATAGGAGAGATTGTTTGCTTTGTTTACTTCTCTGATTGACAGCAGGCTCAATTTACCGAACATCAACACAGACTGAACATACCCAATGCTCAAATTAGAAAAATCAACAAAGCCACCAATGTCCCTTGAGAATGGAAGCCAAAAAATTAGGAATCACAAACACATGTTGTGTATGGTAATATGACTTTCTTTTCTTGCTTTACAATGTGGCAACTACACACGAATATTTATGTTCCACCGTTGTGGAAGGTGTAATTTTATAGAGCGGCAACACAGCATTATCGACATCATATGTTTTTTGGGGGTAGATAGCACAGTTCACATATAAACACACACACGAACTCCGCACACAAAAAGCCGACACTGCCGAACACCACACACTACCACCACCATAACACATCTTTACCATCAATGTTCATGAAAAAAAATTCCAAGTTATGAAGAAAATGCCAATATTACTCCATCTTCCAATAAAATGTTTGCTTTAAGGTTATGGCCAAATGAGGTTATGACCATTTATTTATTTACATTTCAGTGGCCGCCTCGGTGCCCTTTCAACCACCTCAAACTCATAAACTGAACAAATACGGGTCAACGAAAATCTCACAGCACGATTACATCACATGTGCTCTCCATTTTCTACGAAAAGCACGTTTTTATTTTCACTAATTTTGTGGTTCACAGCTCAAATTTTTGCCAGGCAAATTTTCTTTTCGACTTTTTGGTTATTGACATTCGGAATTTTGAGGTTATTTTTATTGCAGAACTTTAGTGCAGTGTTTTAGCAACGACTAATAGCAAAACTTACAATTTTATAACATTTCACTACCCGAAACGGGAATATTTTGAATTTTTTGTTAGAAAATGCAGCAAACTGCGTAGGTTTCTTACGACAACTGACGGCACGACGAGCATTTTGTATTGGCGTTTACAAACAACCGAACGATGTGTCTACTAATCTTATTGGATAGCAGCACCAAGTGGACTGTGAATAGCGCACGATTGTGGGTAATGCAGTATTTTACACTTATTTTTTTGGAAATTTCTTTAATATCACAAAATAGTTTTTTTAGGCTAAAATTATTAATTTGGTATTGAGATTTGTGTGGTTTATTAATATATTAAAAAAAATAAATAACCAAAAAAACGAAATTTATTTATAAACAAATGCGACGACGTTGCCATATGGGGCTATCCTCAAAACAGGTTGCAGTCTTAGATCTACGATTTCGAGTTACCACTTTTCTTTATACGTTTCATTCAGAGTTGATATTTGTTAGACAGTGGTCTAATTTTATGAAAATATTAAAAAAAAGAGAATATTATTTATGAGCAAAAAGTCTACCGCAAATTACGACTTGGGTTAGACTATTGTTGTGTTCCCGAACTTTTCTAATAGTCAAAATAAAAAAAGAGATATTTGAAATTTGCTTCGAGGGAATTACGTTGCGCAGAAAATAGAGATTTTGCGATATTTACTAGCTGCCGCAAAATGATACTTGGAAACAAAATTCAAATGAAGTCTTACAGACTTATGAGGCTAATATTTTTGTTTTTGTATTCTTCCTTGACTTTTATACCTTCTAAACAGGAAAATGACAAAATATTTGGTCGCAAATGAACATAAATTTGACAATTTATGGACGTCAAATAAAAGAAGTTAATGTTAAAGATAGTTAAATACTTTCGAATCATTTTTATATTGAAAAACATCGCTTTTAAATTTGTACAGCGCTTAATTATTGAAATCACAGGTTGCACATTGGATTTTCCAAGATAGGAAATCAATACCTTTAAATTGTATGCAAAGTATAGAACTGCCTTAATTTTAGTGTGTAAAAAGCTATAAAAATCAGTTGAAAACGTTTGAATTGTGAAAATATCAACAAAGGTAGAAGTACATCAATATATGTCTGTGGCCTCTGGACTCTGGTTCTATAAAAACATAAATGAAAAGAACTTTATAAATCTTTTTAATTTGACATTGTTTTTCTTTATGAAATTATTCATAATACATTTTCTTATGCCATGTTTATGTTACAACTTTTTGTAGGGTTAACCTACTTTGAGAGGATTTATTTGAAGTACGAGTAATGGATATGACAATTTTAATCCAAATCCAGCGGGTTAACTCATTTATATGTAAACGTACTGTTAGATTGAGAATTTAGGCCCTGATGTGTCTAATCTTTATAAGCTCAAAGTATCTCAAAACCTCACTCATTAAACAATGTAGTTTGCCCTTTCTTTTTTTAATTTGCCGTCATATTGTTGCATGGCAGAAGAATACAGGTAGATGCATCAACGCTTGGGAGCATTGATATGTCAAAAAGTGTAAATGTTTTTTTTCAAATACAAATAGATTTTTATATGTTTTCTTATACTACGTCATTCGGGGGCTATTATAATTCGCGTTTTCAACAACTTTTACAAATTTAAATAATTTTTCATTCAAAATTTTCAATTCCAAAATTGGTTTGACAGTTCATTGTCCCAGCAGCTGTGTCAAAGCGTCTACCTATATTCTTCTACCATGTTTTGTTGTTAAAATTTGTCATCGCAATTTTTCCATTAAATACTATAGGCCGGTAGAAGAATATAGGTAGATGCAACAACGACATACGACAAAAACTTTAAAGTGTTTTTTTTTTTAAATATAAGTAGATTTTCAGTTATTATTCGGAGGTTATTATAATTTGTGTTTTTCAACAATTTTTACAAATTTCAATAACTTTTCATTCAAGATTTCCAATTCCAAAATCGGTTTGACAGTTCATTGTCCCACCAGCTGTGTCGATGCGACTGCCTGTATTCTTTTACCATGACTTTAGGCAATGTCAATACTGGCATTAAAAAGCGTCGTGTATAAACGACAGGTTAAAAAATTAATATGTTCCTGTCATGAAGTAGAATACGATTTTAATCATCAATCATTTTGTACAATAAGTTATTGCATATTTTTAGGAGTTACTGAAATAATGTTCCATGTTCAAATTTTGGCATTAAATTAAAGCCATACACTATTGAAATTGATTTTTAACGATCTGGACGGCGTTGAAAATGATCATGATAATTACTAAATGATACAGATAGTGTACTAGATATATAGATACTTGATCCGTCCAAATCGCTTTGTGGTAATTAGGTCTTCGAACATTTTATTATGATTTGTTATTTTTTGTTGAAAATTCTAGTTATATCCAGATAATAATTTGCAGATTTTAAGATTTTTTAATGTGGAGTCAATTTTGGAGCTGTGGGCAACTCCGTGGTAAAAACTATCAAAATAACAAACATGGTTAAATGGTGGCTATACCCAAACGAGGATGTATCTAATTTTCCATAAATGTGAACATATCTGGAGAATTGTCTGTCAGAGGAATGAATACCGATTTTGAGCTTCAAATACCAAATTTAAGACAAATCTATTAAAAATTTTGGCATTTGAAGTACATAACAGGTACTCACAACTTTGGTAGAAAATATTCACATGGTAAATTTATATTGGTAGTTTTAAAGGAGAATTTATGTCCCGTGGAAAACAGAAACAGAAACTATTTCTGACATTACAAGCCAAACAGGTAGACCTCTATACTTGCAATTTTTTCAAAGTTGACCTACCTTCTCTTCATTGTACCATGGATATATCTAATTTTCCATAAATGTGAACCTATCCGGAGAATTGTCTGTCAGAGGAATGATTACCAATTCGAGCTTCAAATACCAAATTTCAGACAAATCTATTAAAAATGTTGGCATTTGAAGTACATAACAGGTACTCACATCTTTGGTAGAAAATTTTCACATGGTAAATTTATATTGGTAGTTAAAGGAGAATTTATGTCCCGTGGAAAACAGAAACAATTAATAGAATATCTTTAGTTTAATAAGGAAAATAAAAACTTAATAACCTCACCAATGTTCAAATTAAAGTAAGAATTTCCATGGTGAAATAATTTACAAGGTAGACTATAAAAATCATGTGAATACAATATTATCTTATGGTGAACTATTCTCTTCAACACTATAATTTACCACAAAGTTCCTATACATCTGAAACCCCTTGGACTGGAATGAACGAATCCCTCAAGATATTGGGATACATTAGTGGATACTTAAAAGATCATTCTAAATATCAGGTTTAGAAATGAAGCAATAAATTCCGATTTAAAGTCATTATTACAGCATCAATGTAGAGGTCAAATGTGCTACTTTTATGTACTATTGATTTTGTCGGAAACTAACTTTCAGTATAAAAAATATCCGTGGGTGAATAAAAATTTTGGAAATTTTCACATAAGATTCCATTTCACGCTAAATATTATCCGATGACCATGGTGGGCTTTTACCCTGTCTTAAAGTGTGACCTCACGCAAAATTACGCTTCGAACGGTCTTCATCTGTTTTTGGTCCTTTTCAACCCCTTAATATTTTGCGAGCAGCTCCCCAAAAATAGGCTTCTATTCTGATCCTTCCTCCATGGAAAATTTCGTAAGGAACGGACCATAATTGCGACCTGTAGCGTTATTACAAATTAACATGGAATGACTGAGAACCGTGGATCTAGGACCAATATATCTAGGTGATATAAACTTGTTGGCCCAATGTGTTGTATGCCATAACAATTATACCTGAGTTTTATTTTCCCTCCAATTATGAAAAGAGTATCCGAATAAGCAGATATGCTCTACGATGCTAACACACATCATTCTCGCAAAACATTCAACACAATCACACTGCTTACGAATCGATGAGAAACAAGAAAAAAACATTAAGTTCGGCCGGGCCAAACTTTTAATACCCTCCACCTTAGGGTAAAGGAAACATTAGAAGAAATGTGGCAAAAACCATTAAAATGCCAAATATCGGGAGGTATCGTTATATGGGGGCTATACCAAATCGGGGACCTACAAATGCAAGGTTTCGCCAACGAAGCTAGAACCCATTATGACCTACAAATACCAATTTTCAGACAAATACGTGAAAAAATGTGGCAAAAATCATCAAATTACCGAATATCGGGAGGTACCGTTATATGGGGGCTATACCAAAACGTGGACCTATAATTAAAATGACTCCAATGACCAATTTTCAGATGAATTCGTGAAAAAATGTGTCAAAAATCATCAAAATACCGAATATTGGGAGGTACCGTTATATGGGGACTATACCAAAACGTGGACCTATATATACAATGTTTCGCCACACGAAATAGGACCCATTATGACCCACAAATACCAATTTTCAGACAAATCAGTGAAAAAAATGTGGCAAAAACCATCAAAATACCGAATATCGGGAGGTACCGTTATATGGGGGCTATACCAAATCGTGGACCCATACATGCAATGTTTCGCTACCGAAGCTGGAACCCATTGTGACCAACAAATACCAATTTCTAGACAAATCCGTGAAAAAATGTGGCAAAAATAATCAAAATACCGAATATAGGGAGGTACCTTTATA